TTTTTTGAGACAGTCTTGCTCTGTTGCCCAGGCTGGAGTGCAGTGGCACAATCTCAGCTCACTGCAACCTCCTGCTCCCAGGTTCAAGCAATTCTCCTGCCTCAGCCTCCCGAGTAGCTGGGACTACAGATGCGTGCCACCACCCCCTGCTAATTTTTTGTATTTTTAGTAGAGGTGGGTTTTCACCATGTTAGCCAGGATGGTCTCAATCTCCTGATCTCATGATCCACTGGCCTCAGCCTCCCAAAGTGCTGGGATTATACAGGCATGAGCCACCACTCCCAGCCTTGTCTTTTTTTTTGAGACAGGTCTCACTCTGTGGCCCAGGCTGGAGTGCAGTGGCACAATCATGGCTCAGTTCAGCCTCAACTTCCTGGACTTGAGCGATCCTCCCACCTCAGCCTCCTGAATAGCTGGGGCAACAGGTGTGCACCTCCATGCCCAGGCTAATTTTTTTTTTTTTTTTTTCTTGGAGACAGAGTCTCGCTCTTGTCACCTAGGCTGGAGTGCAGTAGCACAATCTCATCTTGTTGCAACCTCCGCCTTTCGGGTTCAAGCAGTTCTGCCTCAGCCTCCCGAGTAGCTGGGATTACAGGTGTGTGCCACAACACCTGGCTAGTTTTTGTATTTTTAATAGAGACGGGGTATCGCCATGTTGGCCAGGCTGGTCTTGAACTCCTGACCTCGGGTGATCCGCCAGCCTCGGCCTCCCAAAGTGCTGGGATTACAGGCGTGAGCCACCACACTCGGCAAGATGGGGTTTCGCCATGTTGGCCAGGTTGGATTCAAACTCAAGGGATCCAAACAGCTCGGCCTCCCAAAGTGCTGGGATTACAGGTGTGAGCCACCGCACCCGGCCCAGCATTTGTCCCTTGGTGGACTGCCTTATTTCACTTAGCATAACGTCCTCAAGGTTCATCTATGTTGCAGCAGGTGTCAGAATTCCCATTGTGGTATACGCCCCATTTTGTTTATCCATACATCTGTTGATGGGCATTCAGGCTGTTTCTGCCTTCGGGCTGTTGTGAAGAATGCCGCTATCAACACGGGTGTGAGAATATCTGTTCAAGTCCCTGGCTATATTTAAATTCTTCTGGATATTTAGCCAGAAGTGGAATTACTGGATCATCTGGTAATTCTATTTTTGATTTTTTGAGGAACCACCAATACTATTTTTCACAGCAGCCGCAGCATTTTACACTCCCACCAGCAATGCACAAGGGTTCCATGAAATCACTAATTTTATAACTAACTTTTTTCCTGATTACATGTTCACTGTACTACATTTAGAAAATGCAAGAAATAAAATTTAGAAAATTAAAATTCCCCTTACTCTACATACTGGGACAGGACTTGAATTTTTATTATCCCCAACAAAGGGAAGAGAGCGTTTTTCTGGGACGATTGCGTTGCTACAGTGCCGAGGCCTGCCCTGCCGGAACCCAAGCTCCGCCGATCCCGCCGTCCCCGCGACCCCAAGGATCAGCAGTTGAAGTTCACGCAGTTGAACTGGCTTCTGAGTGTATTTGTGGATAATTCCTGGGAGGGTCGCAGACACGACATGGGGTTGTCACATTCTCTGTGGGTCTGTTTCCTCGTCTTTAAAAGCCGTCTCTGCGTTGCTAGGACAAAGCATAAAACGTTTAAGGAAAGTGACTTGTCTAGAAAAGCACGTGCTACAAACACACCATCTACCTTCCGAACTGAGCTTCGGTGTTTTGACTGGAGGGCACCTGAGGACGTCAGTACGGTCCCGCAAACACCAGCACCCAGATTGGCAAGCAGGGGCAGGAGAATTTCCCGCCCCCTCTTACTTCTTTAGGTGTCTATTGGTTGATTTTACCATCAGTCGCCCCTATCCTCCTATCATCGCCGCTATTTGTTCATACTCTCATTGGCCCTACCTGCAGTCGCTCTACGTAAGGGGCGTTCCAGAGTCAGCCACTGGAAGTCGCTGGATTCGGGTTTTAAAAAACGCCGGCGGTGAAGTGGGCGGAGCGATCGATTTGAACACCAGCGGCGCCGACTGCGGCCAAGCACCGGCTCCTGTGAGGCTCGCGGCCCAGCGCTCTCTGGGCTCCCCAGAAGCCAGCCTTTCGCCCCCGGACCCGGCCGCCCGAGCAGGAGCCGTGGGGCCGGGCGCCGGCACCCTCCGCGGCGTGTCATGGGCCCGCGCCGCCGGAGCCGCAAGCCCGAGGCCCCGAGGAGGCGCAGCCCGAGCCCGACCCCCGGCCCCTCCCGGCGGGGCCCCTCCTTAGGTAACTGGCCGCGGCCGCATCTCGTAGAGGAGAAAACCGAGGCTCGCAGGCGGAGCCCGGATCTCCCGAATCCCGATCCCGTGGCCTTCCCTGCTGGGGGACAACGCGGTTCCGCCGTCTGGCATCCGCTCCGGGCACGGGCGGTGGCAGCCCTGCGAGGGACTGGAGCAAGCGGTTCCGAAAGCGGGAAGAGACCGGCGCAGCCGCTTGGCTCCTAACGCCGTCTTCTTGTTAGGACTAGCGGTTACCCAGCGCCCACCGCCAACCAGGCATTGCGTCCCACTGTTCGTGCGTTATCTCAGCTTCATATCGTGCCCATTTTACAGCTAATGAGAAAGCCAAGGCACAAGCCAGGGAGCTTGAGCAGAGTCGCACAACTTGTTCTGGCGGACACGGGATTTCCAATCCTCTGTGTTTGTGCATTTTTAGATTGCACAAGTATTGACTGCTTTCGGTGACGATTTCAAACAGGAGTCCTCTTAGGAGGTGTCTTTCAGGTTTTTTTTTTCCCTTCCGGGACAGGCTGTTAGGCCTCGAACCGAGGCCTTCTGCGCTGCTCACGCTGTTGCGTTCCAGAGCTTGTGTCCGGGGAAAGAGGGGCCAAAGTCTGTGTCTTCATTGTCTGTGTGGTAGGCTGGTGGATGGGAGACCCAAGGGCAGGAGGAGGCAGATGCCTGTGTGGTACACGGTGGCAACAGCTGCTTTACTTATGTCTTAACTCTTACTACATAGCTAGGAAGAAGATGGGAAGTGTATTGTAGAGTTTGTCTGTTTCATTGTTTTTTGTAGAGACTCGGTCTCCCTATGTTACCCAGGCTGGTCTCAAACTCCTGGTGATCCTCAAGTGATCCTCCTGCCTGGGCCTCCCAAAGTGCTGGGATTACAGGCATGAGCCACTGTGCCTATAGGCTTTTTGGTTTTTTGTGTTTTTTTGAGACCCATCGCCCAGGCTGGAGTGCAGTGATGCCATCAGGGCTCACTGCAGCCTCAACTTCCCAGGCTCAGGTGATTCTCCCACCTCAGCTTCCCGAGTAGCTGGAACTACAGGCATATGCCACCATGCCGGCTAATTTTTTGTATTTTTAGTAGAGATGGGGTTTTGCCATGTTGCGGCTGGAGTAGGTTGTTTCTAGATGTTGCTGTTGCGGATGGGATTTTTTTTCTTTCCCAAAACACAAGCATTTAACCTTTGCATCCAGCCAACTTGCTGACTTCTCGTTCATCCTAGTCTCTTTTAGTTGCTTCAATTGAAATTTTTAAGTAGACTATTATGTCATCTGCATATAACTTTAGAATCTTCCATTTTCGTCTCTAAACATTTTATTTCTTATTGTATGGTATTAGTAAGGCCCTGAGACTCACTAAGAGTGGTGTTTTGGCCATCTTTGTCTTATTTGTAATTTTAACAGGAATATGAAGTATGATGTTTGCTGTTGCTTTCCAAGGTAGAAGCATCCTTCTACTCCTGATCAAATGGAAGGTTTATCTCAAATGGGCAGTCAACACTTCTTGGCAGTCCTACCACCTTTGTCTGGTATTCTTTCTTCAGTTTTAGAGACGGAGTCTCACTCTGTCGTCCAGGCTGTAGTGCAGTGGTGCTATCTTGGCTCATTGCGGCCTTGACCTCCTGGGCTCATGCAATCCTCTTGCTTCAGCCTCCCGAATAGCTAGGATGACACGTGCACCACCATGCTTGACTATTTTTAAAGCTTTTTTGTAGACAAATTGTTTTGTCTCTACAAAGAAAAGCCATCGTGCCTGCCCTTTGTCTGGAATTCTTGCTTTTCCATTCTCCCCATGACTATTTCATACCTTTTTCTCCTTCCTCGAATTCCTACAGCTCCATTCCCCCTACTCTTAGCCAATGATGGCCTTGACTAGGTGTCCCCCTTCCTATCAAAGCTCTTCCTCCTTCTACGTGGGGTCTTGGTCATATCCTTCTTTCACCTACAAAGGAGCTTTCTACCTGTGCTTAGATAAATCCAGACACTTAACACTGGCATTGGCACATGTGCTCTAGCATTTATGATCTTTTTTTTTTTTTTTTTTTTTGAGGCAGAGTTTCCCTCTTGTTGCCCAGTCTAGAGAGCAACGGTGATCTCGGCTTACCGCAACCTCCACATCTTGGGTTCAA